AATAAATTTTTTGCATATTATTTTTTGTTAAATTGTCTTTATACCTACCTTGTACTGAAACATTTAAATAAATGTCCCAACCTTCCAAATTACAATTAATATCATCTTCGATACGGAAAACTTAAACCGTAATGGACAATACTTTTCACGTTTCTTACTCTTCGGACCTGCCATTTTGACCATACACCCCGCCTATCTGTTTCGGCAGGCAGAGTCAAACCAGCTGCACTTACCGTAACAATAAGAACGTTTTTATGACTTACTCGTCAAACCGAGATGTCACTGCTGAAAATCAGTAAATTTCTAAGCGTTATATCTCGAAAACTAATAAAAATCGGGTAAGTACATAAAACCTTGATGAATTCGTCTTGAAAAGCACTATCGCCTGATCGAGAAAGAAATTATAGTTCCATTTAAAAAAACGAAACTTTACCATCATATCTTTTACATTAATAACAATAAAAAAATTTTGCTTCTGCCAAAACATAGGGCCTCTTTTACCCTGCAATTTCCATATAAGCACTTTTTCGTGACATCAATAGTTCATGAGATATTAAGGTGTAACACTTCGGCGCGGACACCCTGTACAAGACAATCACAAAGTGGCGTTGAAAAACGTTAGTCCGAATATCGAAGACTACTGTCGCGCAAAGTGCACACTTCGCGACGCGGTGACCCGTTCAGTGGCGTCACTCCAGCGGAGCGGACTGCCGTAAGGAAAGGGTTAATTAAAATACAATTTCATCAAAATCATTGTATAAGAATACAGTTATTATCTCTATATAATAATAAAGCCAAGAAGTTGTCTGGCTGCAGCGAACGTGGTGAGATCCCCTTCCTGACTTTTGTTTACCTTTTGTTTTAGTAGATTCTTCTGCTTCACCACAACAACAATAACAATATTAACAAACAACTACATAATAATACTTACACCATCACACACATTTTTATAATATTCTTCCAAATCCAATATTATTATTTAATAATTATTATCATCATCACCATCGCTCGCTACCTACCAGACCACCAAAACCACATTACTGCTAAAGCAAGCAAGCACACACACTTACCAACAACAAACAAGAACAGAGAGTTGGCAGCAAATATTTTTATTTAAATTACATTAATAAATGATAAAGGAGTAATAGATGATTTTCAAAAATTTAAACCTAATCGTTGTTGACTTCAGTCAACGACTAATTGGCCTACTAGTATACAATAATTAATAAATACGTTATAAACGACGTTAGAAAAATATAATCTGATAATCATAATATTGACAAATGTGTATCCATCCTTGATCCATCAGTCATCTGATCTAGATGCTGAAGTCTTCTTTTTCTTTCTTAATTTCAGTTGATTAATGTATACCTAAAAATATTTATGAATATTAATTAATTAATATAATGAATAAATAATAAATTCATGCACTCTCCTTTAAAAGCTATAATAAATACAAGATAAGTAACATAATAAACTAACCTTTCTACATCTTTCGGGAATCTAAACAAAGTTTCTTTTATTCCACGTTTTTCACTCGTTGTACTTTGATAGCCTTTTATACAACACCATTTTGCTTCACACTTTATATATATATATATGTATATATATATTTATTTATTTATTTAAAAAAGTGGGTGACAAAAATAACGAGTATATGTGCTATTACTTACCAGCTATTCGCAACCGCCATGTTGCTGGTTGTGCGATTCGGTCATGCGCGAGTGACAACTTTTGGGCCACTTTTGGGCAGAGTGAGCCTACTGTGCTTTCTTATACTGTGGCTGCGTGGCGCGTGGTGCGTTGTAATTGTTGTAATCCGTAAAGATTAAAATTATATTACAAGTTAAAAATATATTATTTAAAAAAACCCAACATTAGTATTATCGTAATATAGATTCTTATTATATTCTACTAATGACGAAGAAAATAAATTATCATTTATCAAAACGTAAAAAGATGTGTTACTTTTTAACATAGTTTGTAAACACATGTAGTTTTTATACATCGTTTTGTACTATCAAATTCGGCACCCTAAAACATAAATTTTATCTACGCATGACATACCTCCATCTCTAATAAATTCTAATGTGTCCAACAAAATATGTCCTGCATCCCTAGCTTTGATGTCCAATTCCGACTCTTCGAAGTGAATATTGGCAACTTCATCGACTGAGGATTATTAACCCTTTCCTTACGGCAGTTCGCTCCGCTGGAGGGACGCCACTGAACGGGTCACCACGCCGCGAAGTGTGCACTTTGCTCGTCAGTAGTCTTCGATATTCGGGCTAATGTTACATAACAACTGTTTCATCGTATTATAGGAAAAACATGAAAATGAGTATATTATATAAATATTCAGTTATTTACATATAACAGCCGTACACACAGGTCGTCGCGCGGCCGTCGCCTATAGTCGGCACCCGTAATAAAAGGGTTAATGAATACCTGCTCTCGTGGACTCACACTTCGTAGAAGTACGAAGGATTAATGTTACTCGGTGGACGTAGACCAACTGAGAGCAACCTGCACAATATCCTCCCTCGTAACCTCGTATTGCATAAGACTATAAAAATTTAATTTTGATCAGAAAGTTTTCTTCTCTCGCCGTTTCTTTCACCCCATCATTTTCTTAATAACGCTACTGTAACATTACGCTGCAGCTGCAGATATCCATACTCGCACCCTACCTTTCTATGAATAAGTAATTCCACAGTTGCGAAACCTGTCAATCACTCTGTTGCGTAGAAAGAATTTTTCTAATATTCCGCTTGAAAATCTTTTAAAGAGGTAATATTTGCAAAGGGTGAGGTGAAATGAAGGGTAGCTAGGTAACAGCTAGATCAGTAGTGTTTGAGCCGCTACACGCGATGGTAGAAATAAATAGTTACTACAAGTGGTGTACTATCTTTCTGTCCATGATTGGACTTTGGCCGTACTGCAACAAAAGATTTCAACTCTTGCATAATGGTATTATCAGCCTCATTACTTGGGCATCTGTAATATGCCAGGTATAGATTATCAAAATTTATTTACGTACTATTTGAAATATTTGTAAGAGCTTTCTGAATGTCTTAGCATTTTTCTACTAGTACCTAACAATCCTAATATCTTCTTCAGCTTGCAGCTATCCTCGCTATAGACAGAGATCTGTTTCGGCAACTTAGGGGTATACCAATTACAGCAATGGCAATAGCCGCGTTTACAAAATATCACGCAACCTGGTATCAAATTAACTACGTAAGTCACATATAGAGATTGAATTTACGTTTACGAATTCTTATAAATATTATTGTAACATGCAGGTAAAGGCACAAATAAATCAAATCAGACTTGACTGGGAGACGAATAACGTTGAAGTACTTCGAATTATGCAGATTTACGCATTTTATGGAAAAAGACTCGTAATACTTTTTGCGAGTAAGAAAAGTTTTAACAACCGTGTAATTTCGATATGATTTCAGCTTATATATAAAATGTTTTACAGCATTTTTTTATCCAGGATTGAGTATAGTAATACTATACCATATTTCACCTATCATTTTGAATGTAATTGTGCCCTTAAATGAATCTCGCCCAATAAAGTTTTCAACTGATCTTGAGTTCTGGATTGAAGAAGAGCAATATCCCATTCTCAACATTAGCCTATTTTGTCTAGTGGTGATCGTGGACGTAGCCGTACTGGTTGGGACAGAATCATTCTCGATTATGATCTGCTTGCATGTAGCTGGTTTATTTGATGTTGCAAGGTTGGGCTCAAATATATTGCGTTTATCATCCATAAAATGCATGTATTCATAAATCGATTGAAACAATGATTTTTTTATATATATGAGAATATTTATAGCGAGAAATGAATGATTTAGCATTCAATACCGTATTCGTTTTTAATATTCGTGTCCCTTAGTCTCCAATGAATTAAACCATGTTGTTTAGATAACTTATATACTTATTATCCTCTACTATCTGCACCACATTTTTTCGAAAGTTCTCATCTTTCATTTTCAGTTATTATTTCGAAAAAGCTGTGCTTTTAGAGTCCGTACCATCATATCGTCCACGAAAGATTAAGGATAAAGAATCTATCAATCATATAGCTACTGGTGTACTTTTTCATCTTAGGTGTCTTCAGTAAGTACTTACAAATAGGTGTTGGCCTGCAGCATTTTTAAGCTCTGCATTTCTCATATTCACCACAATATTCCGCGTAATTAATACGCTTATCTTTAAAGGGATGTACACGACACAGCCGAAAGGTGCAAAGCGGTATACAGTTTCATCACCATACTGGGTGTTATTACTGCAAGCATCAGTTTGTTTTGCGTGAGTAATTTATACAGCATAGTTTTTTTGTCAATTGACATGCGGATAATTCTCTTTTCTAAAAAACAAGTGCAACAGGATTTTTAAATTGTTCTGTTTGTTCAAGCTTTCTGTGATGGTACTTCAGTTATCAGATATAAGGGAGACTATATTCTTTGTCTTGGTATTGATTGCTACATTTGGATACATGTTTTGGTTGAGTCTGGCAGTCCAATACGTAATTGACAGCGCTGACAGTATGCCTCTAAAGACGTAAATGTCTTCGAATATTATGTATACCAAATTCTTCCTGCTGACTACGTGTTGATCGCTAAGTAGTCATATTATAGTAACACACGTCTTTATATTTAAATGCAGTGCACAATGTATCAAAATCTTTCACATCCGTTAATAACAGAGTTACTATCGTTGACACATATATTTCCAAATTTTGTAGATATTGTTGTGAAACAGTGCAAGACAAATTACTAACATTTTTGTGTCAACTCGTATCTTCATACGTGATTAAAAATATTAACACGTTCAATATCTCATTGTATTGATCATTTATTTTCAAAATGTTCTAAGACTGGCGATAGACTCAAGCGCAAGCCGCGTGTAATGCACGTCGGTGTGAATGTGATAATGAACATTACTGCGCCCTTTCTTTCAACCAACACTTTTTGAGCCGTACCAGGTTTCGTTCAATATAGCAATACACTGTTGTCTATATTTATAGGTACAATACGAACTGGTATGAAACGTCTATAGCCACGCAAAAATTATTGCAGATGATTATACTAAAAAGCAACAAAAGTGTCTCGCTCAACTTTTTCTCCATCTTGACTCCGTCAATCGGATGCTTCGCTATGGTATATAAATACTAATTACTATAGAAAAATCAATACTAATGTAAACAATCCTCATTTTTTAGTTTGTGAGGGTATCAGTATCCTACTTTACTGTCCTGCTGTCTTTGCAATAAATTTGTCCAACTGTTTGGCAAAGTGTGTCAGAAGCGATTATTAGTGCAATATAGTGAGAACAATGATGTCAATTTGTTGTTGTATTTTGTCGTGTGCAATCATTTCTTACCTGCAACCTTAACGTTATAATGTTAACTGTCTTCGTCTTTAGTATTTATTTTGGAATTGAACCTCTTTATCTTCTGTGTTCTTCGTATAATTATAATATGATCTAATTACATGTACTCACGTCACCTTCACCAGTCATCCGAACGCTCCAACCACTTGTTTGCGCACGAACGTGTGCTCTGCTTTCGGAGAACGAAGCCGACTAACAAAAATCGCTGATATCCTCCCTCGTGAGCTCGTATCGCATAAAAAGTATAACAATTTAACTTTGCTCAAAAAACTTTCTTCTCATATTTCATCTGTTACTCTATCATTTTCACAATGATATTATTATACCACCACGCTACAGTTTGACTCTGCCATAATAGCGTCATTAGCCTCGTTACATGGGCATTCTTAATATCACAGGTGTGGGTTATCAAGTTTGTTTCACGAACTATATTACGAGGAGAAATAAAGTTTTTTAGCAAAGTCATAGAACATTAAATATCGATCAAACACGTTCAGATCATCGGTTGCTAATTCGAGAGATTATTGGATGAAGTAGATCAAGAACAATATTATTGGAGATAAAAGCGATATAAGAGCGATACACGAATTAGCATTAACATTTGTCTCCATGTTTCGATTCAATTTTGTTCTCTAATCTTCTTCTCACGTAATTTTGATTGTATTTTGTATCGTTCTTAAATAAATAGTTTTTGTGCTTTGTATATAATTAATTACGACACTATTCGTCCACGAATCTCCTCGCCTTCAACAAATATTGCATGAGATCGTCCATGGCTAAAAGCATTTATGTGCACGCGTAGAGCAGTGACCCTATCCATTGAACACCTAGAGTGTTCGGCAAGAAAAGCGTTATCGTAATATTGAGAGTATAGAATCTGCTTGGGAGTGGTGATCTTTACCAGAACATTTAGAACACAAGCTGCTTGGATGTGGTAACAACAAGGAGGGGACGGTCGTTCCACAATTGCTAGACTGCCTGTGAGATCACTAGCGTTCAAAAGAGATACATAATTATTGCCAAGACAATATTTTGTATGCTCTACTTTATACTCCTGGGTTCCAAATAAAGTGTACAGGGTACGTTGATACGTATTGATTGCGCCGCTGTGTGTCAGCATATCGTTTAGGTGCGAACGTCGATCAACAAAAAACTGACACTTTGCAACATCTGATTTTGATATTTCCGAAAGCATATAGATCAAAATGTGTGGGCCTCTTCGTTTGATGGCTGATATTGGCAAGTTGTCGGCGAGCCACTTGTATCAGCATTCGACACGGAGGTATGAGTATTATAAGGAAAAGCAGAACCTCAGGTCTCTTACTTTTTACATTTTCGAATGTACGAGGACAATCACAACATTTTGTTAATATACAGTAGTTATAAGGATTATTACGATATAACAGACCAAAATTTTTGAATATACACTATATTTTTTGCAGTTTCTGATACAACGTTTAAGAGCCCTAATAATATTCTTAGTTTTTAGCTTTCTTCGCTGTAGAGAGAAATCTGTTTCGGCTGCTATGGATAACATCGTTTATAATAATAGCAATGGATGGATTTACAAGATACATACCACATAACCTAGTATCATATCAATGATGTAAGTTGCTGAGAAAAATTGAATTAATGTAAATGGAACATTTATCTAAATATTATTATGAAATGCAGATAAACGGATTTCGAGATAAAATCAGGCTTGATTAGTAGACGAATAATGAAGAGATACCTGAAATCATGCACGTACATGTTTTTCACGGAAAACGCCAAGTAATAATAATTATTGTAGCTGAGGACAATCTTGAATAATTTGAAATTTTGAAAGTGGCTTAGTGAATACATAGTACGTTTTTCAGGCTTTGTTTACCCTTCAGTGTGTATGATGATACTGTATGGTATATCACCTATTATTTTCGATAAAATTTTATCATTAAATGAGAATCGCTCAGTAATTCTTCCATTAGATACGGTATTCTTGATTGACGAAAAACAACATCTAATTATTAGCAGTTATTTGCTACATTTATTCGATTATTCGAAGTTGATAGGTAAGACCGTGTCTCAAATAAATCATGTAAATCATACATAAAATGCATGTCTCATTTGCATTCATTGAAACGATTATCTTGGAAATATTAAACGTTACATTTCAAATGTGAAATGACTGACATTAGTATATGCATTCATATACTATCCATTTGTAATTATGAGTTTCTCAAACCTTATAAGAATTGTCCTTCTTTTCCTAACAATTCTGAAAACTATGTGATTATTAATTTTCTTATATATTTTTTGGCAGACATGTTTAATTAATTTAATAGAGTATTCTGTCCATGAGTGTAAAAATTTTATCCCGAGTACTGAGGGGATTCCCTACAGAATCAGACATGTCAGTGTTACTGTGTGAACGACCTGTATTTTTGTGTTACCAGTAAAAATGTATATTATTCCTCGAAAATGAGTGCTAAAGAAGATTGTCAATATAGGAAGGGTAAAAAAGAAACTTAAAGTGAGATATTTCACGGAAGAAGCCCTCCGCAAAAGAAAACGCGTACCCCCATTTTGATCCATCATTTACGAATACAAATTTGCATAAAAATCGAACTGCATATAAAATAAACAATTAAATAAAGAGTCCAATTTTTTTAAATGTTATTTGGACAAATAATTCCCCTGCAATTTTCGTAATGGATGAAATTCCTCACTGAAATATGTACAATGTAAAGAAAAAGACACCCTCCTACACCTTCTACGTTTCCGAGATATTTAAGAAAATGTATTTTCAACCTCCGCCTTTGAAGGCTACTTTCACCCCGTCAACATGAATGTCCGCAGATTTAAAAAATTCGTGTCAAATAATATTCGAAAAACTGTCAAATATGTCAATTTCATTAAAATCCGTACGTGACACCTTAATGATGTCCCTTGTATGAAGACTAATGCACTACTACTGGAGTTTTACTGCTTCTGAATACGCGCTCACTGTTCCAAGAAAGCATATCTATTGCGGTATATTGATGAACATCTTCCCCTGTGTACTCACATTTCGTAGAAATATAAAAGACTGTTATTATTCGGCGGATCTATATCGACTGAGCGCAACCCGAACAGTATCCTCCCTCGAAACTTCGTATTGTATAAAAATATAAATATCTAACTTTGCTCAGAAAATTTTCTTCTCTCGTCTTTTCTTTTACCCCATCATTTTCTTAATGACGCTACTATAATATTACACTGCAGCTGCCGACCGTGTTACTCGCACACAGCTTTGTATGAATAAGTAATTCCACACACGTGCAACCTGTCAATCACTATGTTGCACAGAAAGAATTTTTGTTATATTTCACTTGAAAATCTTTCGAAGCGATAATATTTGCGAAGGGAGAGGTGAAGTAGAAGGTAGACATGTGACTCCGACATCAGTAGAGTTTGAGCCCTTGAACGAAATGGCAGAAATGAACAGCTATTATAAGTGGTGTAAGCTCTTTTTGTCGGTGTTAGGACTTTGGCCGTACAGCACCAAGAAATTTCGACTTTTGCATAATGGCATCATCAGTATCCTTACATGGATATGTGTAATATCCCAGGTGGTGGGTTATCAAATTTGATTTACATACTATTTGATACGTTCCTGAATGTTTTCTGAATGTCTTTACATTTTTCGCCCAACGCTTGACAATCCAAACATTTTTCTTAGTTTGTAGCTATCTTTTATGACACCAATCTGTTTCGGCAACTTAGAAATATATCAATTGCAGCAATATCAGTAGCGGCGTTTACAAAGTACCACGCAACCTGGTATCGCATCAACGATGTAAGTCATGTATACAGATTGAGTTCATGTTTACGAAACTATGCAATAAATATCATTGTGAACTGTAGATGAAGGCATATCTAGATCAAATCAGACTTGACTGGGAGACGAATAACATTGAGGTACTTCGAATTATGCAAATCTACGCATTTCACGGAGAACGCATCAATATGCTTTTTACCAGTAAGATAAATATTAAAAAATTTTTTATTTCGATACTGTTTCAGCTTACATATAGAACATATTTCAGCTCTCTTTTACCCACTATTATTTATAATGATATTATACCATATTTCACCCATTATTTTGGACGACATCGTGCCCTTAAATGTGTCTCGTCTAAAAAAGTTTCCATTTGATAACGCATTCCTGATTAACGAAGAGCAACATCCTATTTTCAACGCTGTTCTGCTGTATGTATCACTGATCGTGAACATAACCATATTAGTTGGAACAGAATCATATATGATCATGACGAGCTTGCATGTCGCTGGTTTATTTCGTATTGCAAGGTTAGACTGCGTTCGAATTATATCGTACTTATTAGGCATTAAATATATTTCTATATCGATGTATTTCTAACTCGATCGAAACAAGGATCTGTTCAAGTACAGATGAATGTTTGTACCGTGAAGTAAATGATTTAGTATTGAATACTCTATTCATTTTTAATATTCAAATTTCATAAACTTCAATAAATTATATTACGTTGTTCGGATCGTTGCAAAAATAGTTTCGCTATCACGTTTAATTGGCAAAGTGCGAATATCCACTTACGAACTGCAAACATGAACAGGATAAACAGTTTTACAACATAAAGTACATAATTGCGGCAGTTTCCAACGATTAATATACAATTTTTAAAACCGTGAAATAAAACATACCGTTCAAAACTTTAGAAGGAACAGCACATTTTCAAGACTGTTTAATGTTAGATTTATCCGAATGATATGAGCTTTGAAAATAAGAATCTGTATGATTATGGCAAGTAATCTTACATTCTCATTATCTTGTACTATCTAAACCACACTTGTATAATGCTATTCACTGTTATTTTCAGTTATTATTTCGAAAAAGCTGTTCTTGCGGAATCCGTAGCATCATATCATCTGCGAAGTTGTACAAAAAACGAAACTGTCAGTTGCCTAGCTATTGGTATATTGGTTCATGGAAGGGCACTTCAGTAAGTACTTACTAATGGGTTGGCCTACTGCACTTTTAAGGTATACACCATTTCATGTTTATCCTTCAAGGAGATTACATAAGGAAAGCGAAAAGGCCAAAGTGGAATACAGTATCCTCACCATGCTGGGAATGATTGTTGTGAGCGTTAGTTTGTTTTGCGTGAGTAATTTATTGACATAAACATTATTCTCTTCCCTAAAAACAAGCGCAATAGAATTTTTTGTTTTGTGTGTTCAAGCTTTATGTGACGGTGCTTCAATTATCAGATATCAGGGAGACTTTATTTTCTGCCGCGTTATTGATTGCTATACTTGGATACATGTTTTGGTTAAACCTTGCAGTCGAATACATAATTGATAGCGCCAGCAGCATCTCTATGACGACGTAAATGTCTTGGAATATTATGTGTATCAACCTTTTTTTGCTGACTTTTAACGTGTTGATTGCTAAGTAGTCATAAAATAGTAATACACGCCTTTACACTTAAATGCGACACTTATTTTACCAAAATCCCTCTGTGCCACTAATAACTAGTAAGAATTGCAGACATATTTATTTCAAAGATGTGCAGATATTTCTGTCAAACAGTGCAAAATAAATTGTTCATACTTTTCTATAAACCCGTATCTTGATATGTAACTGAAAATATTAATGAGCCATTGAAGTGCATTTTTTTAATTAAGACCTTTCTAGTCGTACCAGATTTCATTCAGCATAGAAATGCGTTGTCCTCTTTATTTACAGGTACAGTACCAACTGGTACGAAACGTCTGTAGTAACGCAAAAATTATTGCAAATTATTATACTGAAAAGCAACAAAAGCGTCGCATTCAGCTTTTTCTCCGTCATTAGTCCGTCAATCGCAAATTTCGCAGTGGTATGTCAGTACTATCATCTACTAAAAATGATATTCTCTATTCAATCCTTATTTTTCAGGTTTTAAAAGCAGCAATATCCTGCTTTACTGAGTTGTTGTCATTACAGTGACTCTACTTGTATGACAAAATGAAAATCAGTAAGATGCGAATAATCTACAGTTTGTTTCCTTATCATGTACATTTTTTTTTATTTACTCATTCTCGTAAGCGTTAATGTTTTTTGAACATATCCTCATGCAACTAATAAAATGAGTCAGCTGGATTGTCCTGCTTCGGACTCTGTATGCTTAAATAAATTAATCTTACATTCTCGTTATTCTGTACCATCTATTCCGCTTTTCTGACAGTGCTCTTATCTATCATTCTTAGTTTTTTCATCGAGAAAGCCGTTCTTGCAGAATCATCCGTATCATATCTTCCGCGAAATTGCAGAAGTAATGAAACTATCAATTACACAATTACCGGTACTACAATACATCGAATGGCACTTCAGCAAGTATTTTCTTTATACATATGTACTAACCAATTTCGCCCCACGATAATCTTAACTTTTAAACCAGGGTTTTCCGCCTTCTTTTTGCATTCACATTTTTGCAAAGAGTGGTCTTCCTTGACAGTTGCATTTGTTTCTATGAAAAACATTATACAGAAAAATCATAGTACAAGGAATTTGCTGAAATATTGCTTAAAATTTAACGTTTAAACAATGAATATTTATCAGCTTTTCGGCTAGCAAATTAATTTTGCATCCTTTCTCTTATTTTAGTTACGTTTATTGTGTTCGAGCGAATTACTATCTACATTCCACTTCTGGAATGTAAAATATATGAATTTGAAAAAAAATTGTTAGTTGTCATTATGTATTTATGCAATAATTTTAGTATATTTTTTCCGCATATGTATTTTATGATTTGGTACTAACTACATGAGATAGTCTTATTATATGTACAAATAAACAATTAATTATGTATTGCATTAATAAATTATGACTGCAATCAATGTAAAATTGTATCAGTGTAAAGGGTGATTATGCATAAGGCGTAGGAAAACCCCGCGGTGACCTCTGGCCAAAAATACGCATTTTTCGTATTCATCGTAATATTTTACTTAACTGATTAAGTATATTTTTGAAGATTTGTACGTGATTTAAACAACCACTGCAATATATCGTACGTTCCCACCATTATCTTCAACCACTGCAATATATCGTACGAATATATCGTACGTTCCCACCATTATCTTTAGTGTGATTGCCTTAAGCTGTCATTTTTTTTTGCGTGAGTAACTCACATTGTATCACTTTATATCAGTTGGCATGGATATAACTTTTTTTCTCAAAAAAATCCCGAATAAGAATTTAGAAAATATTCTGTTTGTTAAAGCTGTATCAAACGGTGTTTCAACCAGCAGATTGTAAAGAGACAATCTTGTCTGTGTTTCTAATCAATTCTTCATTGGGATACATGTTTTGGATGAATTTTGCAGCTGGAAACATGATCGGTTCAGCTGAAAATATCTCTATAACAACGTAAATGTATTCAAATGTTATTTGTACAAAATCATTTTATCTAGTTTTTAATGTGTCGATTGCCATTTACTCATATGTTTATTATGAACGGCTTTCTGTTTATATTAGTAAAAATACGTAATGTCGACAGAGGAATTGGTATTACACTTTTCAGAAGTATGGTACACATCTTCTACGGAATTTCAACTAACGTGACATGCATCTACAAAGTTTGAAACCAAGTAAATATTTGTAAAATTACAATTTCTTTATAGTTCTACAAATTTTTTTTCATTGATTTTTACCACTATTATCGAATATTCTATTTTCATTGTTGACACTGTTGTTGTACTCGTTTAAGGCATGCTATTTATTTGCAATGTTCAAGAGGTCATGTCATCCTTTATTACGCCATGTTAGAATGGCAGACTGTTTAATCGTCCGTCTTGAGATCCGACTTAACATGTTACTGTACTGTTAAAAAGAATTTCATTCAACTGACAGCTTTCAAATCATACTGGTTGTTTCAATGTATCGTTGTCTATAATTACAGGTATAATACCAACTGGTATGAAACGTCTATACGAACGCAGAAATTATTGCAGCTGATCATATTGAACAGTAACAGAGGTTTTACGTTCAATATCCTAAGTGTCTATGTTCCGTCGGTCGAAGGCTTTGCAGTGGTATGCTTAATACATATAACAGCCCCGAAAAACAATATTCTATATTGAATCCTTAGTTTTCAGCTTTTAAAGGCATCGGTATCCTACTTTACTGTTCTACTATCTTTGCAGTAAATCTTCTGATTACTTAACAAAACAAAAATCTGTAAGAAACGAATAATAGTCCAACTTACTCAGAACACTGACATTAACCTACTGTTGCTTTAATTTGCGGTACGCCATTACGTTTATTAACCAAGTCAGCTGCTATTCCACTTCGCTGCAATTTCGTATAACTGAACCTCGCTATATTAACCGTTGGTAGTATAATTGTAACATAATATAAATTCGTGCACTTACATCATCTTTACCGGTCATCCTAACATTTCACAACATTTATCTGCGTCTGAATAAAAGTTCTGTCTTCGGAGGATGTACACCGACTGAGAAAAATCGAACAGTATCCTCCCTCGTAAGTTCGTATTGCATTACAATATAAAAATTTAACTTGGCTCAACAAATTTTCTTCTCTTACTTCTTTAGTTACCCTATCATTTTCATAATGACACTATTATACCACCACGCTACAGTTACCACGCACCCTATCTTCATATGAATAAGTAATTCCACAGTCGCGAAACCTGTCAATCACTGTGTTGCATCGAAAGAATTTTTCTCATATTTCGCTTAAAAATCTTTCGAAGAGGTAACATTTGCAAAGGGTGAGGTGAAATGGAGGGTGGCTAGGTAACTGCGAGGTCAGTAGTTTTTGAGCTGCTACACGAGATGGAAGAAATAAATAGTTACTACAAGTGGAATACCATCTTTCTGTGGTCTGTTGGACTTTGGCCATACTGCAACAAGAAATTTCGACTCTTGCATAATGGCATCATCAGCCTCATTACTTGGGCATCTGTAATTTCTCAGGTATAGGATATCAAGATTAATTTACGTACTATTTAAAATATTTATGAAAGTTTTCTGAATGTCTTAACATTTTTCTACCAATACTCAACAAATTCTAATATCTTTTTTAGCTTGTAGCTATCTTCGGTGTAGAAAAAGACTTATTTAGGCAACTTAGGGATATATCAATTACAGCAATGGCAATAGCCGCGCTTACAAAATATCACGTCACCTGGTACGAGATCAACTACGTAAGTCACATATAGAGATTGAATTTACGTTTACGAATTCTTATAAATATTATTGTAACATGCAGGTAAAGGCACAAGTAAATCAAATCAGACTTGACTGGGAAACGAATAACGTTGAAGTACTTCGAATTATGCAGATTTACGCATTTTATGGAAAAAGACTCGTAATACTTTTTGCGAGTAAGAAAAGTTTTAACAACCGTGTAATTTCGATATGATTTCAGCTTATATATAAAATGTTTTACAGCATTTTTTTATCCAGGATTGAGTATAGTAATACTATACCATATTTCACCTATCATTTTGAATGTAATTGTGCCCTTAAATGAATCTCGCCCAATAAAGTTTCCAATTGATCTTGAGTTCTGGATTGAAGAAGAGCAATATCCCATTCTCAACATTAGCCTATTTTGTCTAGTGGTGATCGTGGACGTAGCCGTACTGGTTGGGACAGAATCATTCTCGATTATGATCTGCTTGCATGTAGCTGGTTTATTTGATGTTGCAAGGTTGGGCTCAAATATATTGCGTTTATCATCCATAAAATGCATGTATTCATAAATCGATTAAAACAAAGATTTTTTGATATATTTGAGAATTTTTGTAGCGAAAAAATAATGATTTGGCGTTAAATACTGTATTCGTTTTTAATTTTCGTGTCCCATAATCTGCAATGGATTACACAATGTTGTTTGAATCACTCTAAATACTGTGTAGCTACTTATTTTCTTTATAATACTCTCGGCTGCATTTTTAATTAGGAGAGTATAAAGCCCCAATCACATATTTCAAAGATGAACAGGACAAATAGTTCTATAATTTATATATTTACGCCAATTTCCAACAGTTATATTCAATTTCTAAAGAAATGAAATGATACAAACTGCGATGAACTTTGTTGTGGAAGTAGTATACTTTTTCCTGTATCGATTATTTTTTTTCTTGATTACCCACTTACTAAAACCTTAAATCATGCGTTCGCTATTGTTTAATGTAAAGAATATTGTAAGGTAAAGCAACTGTTTTGAAAATAAGAATGTATGGCTATATCAAGTAAACTTATGTTCTCAGTATCCTCTACTATCTATACCATACGCTGTAGAGTGTTCTGATCTTTCATTCTCAGTTATTATTACGAGAAAGCTGTTCTTTCGGAATCCGTACCATCATATCGTCCACAAAACAGTAAGAATAAAGAAATAGTCAGTTATATAGCTACTGGTGTATTTTTTCATCGAAAGGCCCTTCAGTAAGTACTAACAAATTGGTGTTGGCCTACTGCACTTTTAAGGTCAGCGTTTCATGTATTCACCACAGTGTTCCGTGTAATTAATACGCTTGTTTCTGAAGGACTGTTCATGACGCAAACGAAAGGTGCAAAGTGTCGTACACTTTCATGGTTCTACTGGGTATTATTAGCGCGAGCATCAATTTGTTTTGCGTGAGTAATTTATACAGCATAGTTTTATTATCAATTGACATGGACATAATTCTCTTTCTTAAAAAACAGGCGCAACAGGATTTTCAAATTGTTTTATTTGTTCAAGCTTTCTGTGACAGTATTCCAATTGTCAGACATCGGAGAGGCTATATTCTCTGTCTTGGTATTGCTTGCTACATTTGGATACATGTTTTGGATGAACCTGGCAGTCGAATACATTATTGATAACGCTAGCAGTATCCCCATAAAGACGTAAATTTCTTGGAATATTATGTGTACCAAGTTTTCCCTGCTGACTTTGTGTCGATCGCTAAGTAGCCATATTTTAATAACACACGTCTTTACATTTAAATGTGATATACAGTGAATAAAAATCCTTCTCATCCGTTAATAACAAAGTTGCCATCGTTGACATACATTTTTCGAAATTTGTAGGTATTGTTGTCAAACAGTGCAGGTCAAATTACTAACGTTTTTTTATAAATCCGTACCTTGATATGTGACTAAAAATAGTAACACATTCATGCCGGCGCTGATTTTTATGATTCGTACTATAAGGCGGCGCAGGTACTCACGTATAATATTATTTCATCTGGCGATCTCGCTTTCTCTGTTTTACCTCATATGGCGGCGCAAATATCCAAACGCCCTACGCCGCAATTTCGATATATTGGTTATTTATTTTCAAAATTTTCTAAAATTTGTAATAGACACGACCGCAAACCGCGTGTAATATACGCCAACGTGAATGTGATAGTGAACCATTACAGTGCTATTCCTTTCAACTAATACTTTTTGAGCCGTTCCAGGTTTCGTTCAACATAGCAATATACCGTTGTTTATATTCACAGGTACAATACGAACTGGTATGAAACGTCTATAGCCACGCAAAAATTATTGCAGATGATTATACTAAAAAGCAACAAAAGTGTCTCGTTCAATTTTTTCTCCATCTTGACTCCGTCAATCGGATGCTTTGCTATGGTATGTGAATATTAACTACAATAGAAAAGTCAATATTAATGTAATGAATCCTCATTTTTCAGTTTGTGAGGGTATCAGTTTCCTACTTTACTGTTCTGCTGTCTTTGCAGTGAATCTGTCCAACTGTTTGGCAAAAAGTGAAAGTGTATAAGAAACGATTGTCAGTGCAATCGGAACAGTGATGTGAATTCGTTCTTGTTGTATTTTGTCGTGTGTAATTATTACTCACTTGCAATCTTAAAGTTATAATGTTGGCTGTCTTCATCTTTTGTTTCTATTTCGGAACTGAGCCTCTTTATCTTTTGTATTCTTCATATAATTATAATATGATATAACTACATGTGCTCACATCATCTTCCCTAGTCATCCTAACACTCCAAACACTTGTTTGCGCACGAACGTGTGCTCTGTTTTCGGAGAACGTAAACCGACTGACAAAAATCGCAGAATATCCTCCCTCGTAAACTTGTAGCGCAAAAAAATATAACTAGGAGTACTGCCCATTAGTGGAGTCTGAGCGAGGCGAAACGTAACTGACGCTGACCGAATAAATGTTTTTGCAAACTTACACCCGGTTTATCAAGAAAATATTCATTTTTTTAAACAATCAGTGAGGGCGCTGCTGATAGCAAGACTTTAATAATAAATTAAATTCACTCAAAGCCGACATATAGTCACTTCGATTCATCAGTCTAATTAAGACAAACAATATTGAATTTACTTATCTAGATAAATTTTTCTATTAACTAACAATTTTTTATTATCCCGACTCCTAAGTCGTCTCTAAATTCTCGGAAAAGTTTCTCGAATATTGCCTTTAGAACCTATGCTAGGCCAAAAAGATTAACGCGTCACTTCCTTAATTCCTCTGAAGAAAAAGCCGGGTTAGGATATTCGCCTAATTAATTAAACTGGTCCTTTCGACCTTCTTAGAACCTCAAATAGTCTAATGAGACGTTCACCAAGGAAAAAAATTCACATTTCTGCTATTTCTAGTGAAAAGACCTCGTTCTGGGCTAAAATTAAGTCTAACTCCTTTAATTTTTATTCGATTTCGCTCAATATTGAACTTAGAGTTGTTTTTATTTAGATCTTGAAATGTATGAAGTTTCAAGGCTTTATCTATGATGATTCTCGAGAAAAGTGCATTACATGAGTCGAAGTATAGTCGAAAAAAAATTTAACTTCGGTCAAAAAATTTTCTTCTCTTGTTTCTTCGGTTACCCTGTCACTTTTATAGTGACACTATAGTGAAACTTATTGTACCACCACGCTTGTTATAATTTTTGCCTGCCAGGCCGACGCCCGACGCATAGATTTTTGAAAAGGACATGGAGGAGATTAATGTAGAAGGCCAAATGTATGGTGCAGACATCGCTGATTAAAGGTATATAACAAATTTCTCATGCTGAATGGCAATCAAAACTTAAAACGCGATTTTCTCATAATCACTTTATTTTAACTGGACGGATACATAACTCGAAAAGATTTTAACTAATCAACTTGAAATTTTGTGGAGAGGTGCAAAATAACATAACTCAGTGAACATCGTACGGGTTTTTTTTATTAATTAACTACTTATCTTATTATTAACAATAATGCTAAATTTTCAGTCGTTTTTCCAAACTTTTCTTCATATCTACACTAAATTAACAATTATTAGTATTTTTTAATTTCAGTACGATGTTTCATAGGTTTTGATATATAATACGAAAAAATCTTAATTGAAGGAATTTGTGCCTCCAGGAACTGTACAGCAGAGTGGTTTGTTTGGTAGTTGGAAATAGTTGGAGGCAGTTTATATAATATCAAATTCTAATAATATTGTCTAACGGTGAAACAACAAACGACATGTAATATTGTACAATTGTTAAAAACGTTGCAAATGGTAGCACAAAAGGGAGTTATTGTCTTCGAAAATAAATCTGAACCCTTTGTGCCGTAAAAAGTAGAAGAAATTGTATATGTAATAATCATTGTTAAATTGCAATAAAGCAAAAATTCTGAAAACGCGTATCTCCGTTTTGATCCATATTTTACAAATACAAATTTGCATAAAAATCGAACTGCATATAAAATAAAAAATTAAATAAGTCGAATTTTTAAAAATATTATTTAGACAAACAATATGTCCCGAAATTTTCGTAATTAACTAAATTTCTTGAAAATACCCGATTTAAAGCAAAATGGAACCCTCCTATACCTTCTAGTTCTCGAGATATTTAAAGAAATGTACATTCAACCTCCGCCTTTGAGGACTATTTTCAACCCCTTAACATGAATGTCAGCAGATACAAGAAATGCATGTCAAATAATATTCGAAAAGCTACCAAATATGTAAATTTTATAAAATCCGTACATGACACCTTAGTGTTGTCCCTTATATGTAGACTAATACATTACTACTGATGCTTTACTGCTTCTGAACACGCGCTCTCTCTTCCTCGAAAGCAAATCTACTGGTGACTATTAGTAAAAATCATCCCTCGTACACTCACATTTCGTAAAAGTATAGAAGACTAATATTATTCGGCGGATGAAAACCAACTGAGTACAACCTGAACAGAATCCTCCCTCGTAACCTCGTATTGCATAAAAATATAGATATCTAACTTTGGTCAGAAAATTTTTTTCTCTCGCCGTTTCTTTTACCCCATCATTTTCTTAATAATACTACTGTAACATTAAGCAGCAGCTGCCGATCGCGATACTCGCACCCTATCTTCATATGAATAAGTAATTCCACAGTCGCGAAACCTGTCAATCACTGTGTTGCGTCGAAACAATTTTTCTGATATTTCGCTTAAAAATCTTTCAAAAAGGTAATATTTGAGAAGGGTTAGGTGAAATGGGGGGTAGATAGACTCGGAGATCAGTATAGTTTAAGCCACTGCACGCGATGGCAGAAATGAATAGCTATTACAAGTGGTGTATGTTCTTTTTGTCGGTGATAGGACTTTGGCCGTATAGCAGCAAGAAATTTCGACTCTTGCAAAATGGTATCGTCAGTCTCGCTTCTGGGTTATCTGTAATCTGCCAGGTATGGGTTATCAAATTCGTTTCCCGAATTAATCGATACGTACATTAACGTTTCGACGTTTTTGAAGGAACGCCTAACAACACTAGCTATTTTTAGTTTTTAGCTTACTTCACTGTGGAGAGAAACCTTATTCGTCTGCTCAAGTTAACATCACTTATATCAATGACATTGATCACGTTCACGAGATACCATTTTGCCTGGTATCAGATTGATCAAGTAAGCATATTGAGACTGAATTCATGTTTACGGATCATTCACATAAGTGTCGTTGTAAAATGCAGATGAAAGAATTTCTAGATCAGATCAGCTTTGATTGGAAGATTAATAATGACGAAATACTTGGAATTATGCAGACACACGCCTTTTTTGGAAAACGTTTTGTAATTACTTTTGCGGGTAAGAAAAATCGTAAAGAGTTTATCATTCAGAACGTAAATGAATTTATAGTATATTTTACAGTAGTTGCCTACGTCCCTGTGTGTATAATAGTGTTATACCACATATCGCCAATTATTTTGGATAGAGTTTTGCCATTAAATGAATCACGTGCCGTAAATCTTCCAGTAGATGTCGTACTAATGTTTGACAGAGAACAACATCCTGTTTTCACTGCTTTTTTACTATGTTTATTATTAACAGTGGCCGAATCTATAACTGTTGGGGCAGAATCATTTCTAATTATGCTTAGTTGGCATATCGCTGGTTTATTTAGTATTGCAAGGTAAGAGTGAATGTTTTACCTAAGTCGAATGAAACGAAGATCTTTTAAGTGGTAGTTTCTACCTAATGAAAATTTATAATCACCTTTGTATATAAAAAGTTAAATAAAACGTATAGAGCAATGTTAAACTAATTCCCCGTTGTCGACTGCGTCATGAATTGCTTTAAAATTAAAATTATATATTCTGCGTTCTTTTTTCTTATCGGCTCTCATTGGTACAGATACATTTTATGTGGGACAACTCTGCATATACCAATATCTTCATAGAAACTTGTATACTGCTTTATTTCGAAAAGTAAACCTTGTCTCAAAAACATTGTCTACCGTAGCCAATACAGTAAGATAGGTACACTGCTTTGAATAGGTTTACGTATATCTAAGTAAACGGATATTACATTTTCATTATCCTGTATTATCTACTCGGTGTTTATAATAATGTTCTCATCTACTATGTTTAGTTATTATTTTCAAAAAGCTGTTCTCCAGGAATGCGCTGCATCTGGTTTTCCGCGAGATTGTAAAGATAATAAAGGTGCTAGTTACATAACTAGTGGTGTGATTGTACATTGGAAGGCACTTCAGTGAGTATTTTGCTTTCTTTTTGTACAAGGTGAAGTGGGGTAAGTCCTATTTTTATTACAATATAAGCGAAATTTCTCCATTTAGTATGTTCGTTTCCATATTTTGTTTCACTATATCCCCTTTTACACTTTAGCTAAGAATACTTGTTTGCAGTGTAGAATACTTGCATAATGCAGTAAAAAGCATTTTATAGCAGATTTGTTAATAATTCTGTTCTTGCCCCATTGCACATGAAATAAAGCTTCAAAGTATTTTAACTTCAAGTTACGCTCTTACCCCATTTTCGGGGAAAGTGCAGAGAAGTTGGCATTTTAGGCAATATCCTATCAAAATCAAAATGTACAAGGAAAATTAAGGTCCTAGTTAATATTAATTAAATAGTAGTAATTGTACAAATCGTTCGATATCGACAGCGTTAAGTATTTACATAACAGACTGAAAATACTTACGTTTAAATACCAACTTTACAAAAACCAATCTGCACTTACGCCACTTCACCTTATTAGAAATAAAATTAATATTTTGGTACTAACAAGTGTCGACCCACAATAATCATATAATCTAAGCTATGCATTGCCCAAGTTCTACGTCAACTTTAATTCCGTTTAATTGATTAAATACATTTTCAAAGACTCGTACAGGACTTACAGAAACATGTTCAGATATTTTACGGAGTCACCATTATATTCGGCGTGATTAGCTTGAGCACCAGTTTATTTTGCGTAAGTATATTATACAACTTTATGTTCATTTCACATGATTTTCTTTTACCAAACAGATACAGTAGGATTTATAAATTGTTCCGTTTGTTTAAGCTGTCTCAAACGATACTACAGGTGGCAGATATCAGAGAGACAATATTATTCGTAATAATGATCAGTACTATTTTGGGACACATGCTTTTGATGAACCTTACAGTTGAGTCTATGATTGACAGCGCTAACAACATTCCTGTAATAACGTAAATGTCTTGAAATCTTATATAAACCACGTTTGTTCAGCTCACTTTTAACAAACTCGTAAAATACCCGTACTGTGGTGTTGCGCGTTAATCTTGGTCCGATCAATTCTAGTGGGATGTTTCCACTTATTTACTGAAGAATAATTTTACGAAGTATTTCCAGCTATATGTGGCAAAAATATCCAAATATCGTCAGAGTAGCCGACTTTTTTTTACGAAAATTAAGTTATTATTTTTTCATTATTTTAACAAGTTTAACGTGCAATCTCAAAGCGTTAAAGCAATTAAATTTCAAAGGGATAACAAACTGTTATGGTATCTCCAATTTCTTACATCATCGATCGATGCCAATAATATTATTCTCCCCGTATAAGATATAATACAGTATTTAATTTTGATATAAGTGAAATCGTATTTAACACATGAGTCAGAACCGCAGTGCATTTCGAAGTTTGAACATATAGTTAACATGTTCCGTGCCACATGTACCACCGGTGGTACGCTCCGACATATTTAATACCTTAAATATATGTATATATATATATATATATATATATATATCAAACTTAATTCTGTAAAAAAATATTTCAATTAAAAGATTGAGACATTACACAAAATGCAGGATTGAACAGAGCACGTAAGTTTGTTTAATTGTTATATTTACAATAATTAATAATTGCATGCATCGGTAGATTTTGATTTCTCAATCTTTAGTCAAAATATCAAATATCCTAAACAAGTTAGGTAAAAAGGAATTGGTACTTAAGTAATGTCGAAACGAATATTTGACGTGACTCTTTAAACGCGTAATGTGATATTTGAATTAAAATGCAAAATTATTGAAGTACACTATCTTACTACAATCTATTCTACAATTCTACTGTACTGGTTTTCCCTAACCATAAAATCGTTGGCTACATTCACAGGTACAACACCAACTGGTACGAAACATCTATAGCAACACAGAAATTGCTGCAAATGATAATATTGAGAAGTAACAGAGGTTTTACCTTAACTTTCTTATCCGTCTTTTCTCCGTCAATTGAAGGTTTCGCTGTGGTATGTCAATATCTATTAACGCAACTCTTAAAAGAATATTTTGTATTATATCTCGAATTTTCAGCTTATAAATACGTCAGTATCCTACTTTACAATGTTGCTATCGTCAAAGAAACCCTACTGATTCTATAGAAATAAACACCAGGAAGTGGATAATTATGCAACATACTGAGGTTATCTCGAATTTGCAGTTTCCATCCCTCGAGATATGTAGTAGTACTTTACTGTATATGGTTGTTACGATGTACATTATATAACTACTTCGAATTAGTCGACGAAACTTAATAAACAAGTAATTAATTAATTACTTCTCTTGTTTCTCTCTTGTTCAGTGACTGTTAAGTAAACTGACTTTTTTTCATCTACACCCACCGACGTCGTCACTGCTATATTAGAAGTAAAATTACAATATAATATATGTTTAAGTGTTTGCATCGTGTTCATTGGCCACTCGAACATATCACCGCTAACTAAAGACTGTTATAATACAAGCTCTTTCTTCGGCGGTCGCAAACGGACTGAGATCAATCGAACAGTACCATCCCTCGAAAGCTCGTATTGCATAGAAATATAAATATTTAATTTTGCTCAGAAAATTTTCTTCTCTCGCTTTTTCTTTCAATCGAACAGTATCCTTCCTCGAAAGCTCGTATTGCATAGAAATATAAATATTTAATTTTGCTCAGAAAATTTTCTTCTCTCGCTTTTTCTTTACCCTATCATTTTCTTAATAACATTCTTACACCACCGTGTTACAGATACCGATCGCGATACACGCACCCTACGTTTATGAATAAGTAATTTGTAACATGTCAATCATTTTCTTGCATTAAAAAAATTTTTGTTATATTTCACCTGAAAATCTTTTTCGCAAGGTAATACTTGCGAAGGGTGAGGTGAAATGGAGGGTAGATAGATGACTCGGAGATCAGTAGTGTTTGAGCCACTGCACGCGATGTTGGAAATGAATGGAAATTACAAATGGTGCATGTTCTTTTTGACAGTCATAGGACTTTGGCCGTACTCAAACAAGAAATTTCGACTCCTGCAAAATGGCATCATAAGCCTTAGCCTCATCACTTGGGCATCCGTAATTTTCCAGGTTTGGATTATTAGACTTACTATAGGTATTAATTATAAATTTATAAAACTAAATGATACGTTGTCAAACGTTTCCGAATATCTTGACATTTTTCGACCAACACTTGAGAATATCAATATCTTTTTAAGTTCGCAGCTTTCTTCAGTCTGGAGGGAAGTCTGTTTCGTCTGTTAAGGATAATATCATTTATATCCGGGGCAATCACCGCACTTACAAAATATCACACAACATGGTATATGATCGATGACGTAAGTCGGGTATAGGAATTGGATTCACGTTTAAATACCATTTAATTTACATAACATTTAAAATGCAGGTGAAAGCGTTTCTAGATCGGATCAGGCGTGCATGGGAGACGAATAATGACGATACACTTCGAATCATGCAGATCCATGCCATTCGTGGAAAACGTCTAGTAATCAGTTTTGCGGGTGAGAAGAATCTTAAATAGTTTGAACGTCCGAAAGTGAACACACAGTATTACTTCTTACAGCCTTTACTTACCCTTCAGTGTGTCTGGTGATACTATACCATACTTTTCCTATTATTTTGGATAAAATTTTACCACTGAATGAGTCTCGTTCAGTAAAGTTTCTAATAACTGCAGAATTCTTTATCAACAAAGAACAACACCGAATTATCAGCACTGGTTTACTACATTTTTTTTTGATAATTGATATAACTGTATTAGTTGGGGCAGAATCGCTTATGATCATGATCACCTCGCATATCGCTGGATTATTTGAAGTTGCTAGGTAAGTTCGTATCTCGAATAAATAATACTGTGTTATTCATAAAATTCACGTCCCGTCTACATTCAATGAAACATAGATCTTGGAAAATATTAAAGAACATTTCAAATGTCAGATTAATGATTTTACTGCCTGAGTCATTCGTTTTTAATGATATTTAGCTTCCTTAATCCTCAAAAGAATTAGATCTAGTTTTCCAAACCTTTCTAAACATTGTGTATTATTAATAAAATAGAAAAGTCCAATTGTGCACCGTAAACGTATATAGAATAAAATACTTTACAAACTATCGAATATTTCCAAAGCAGTTTCTGGACGATACTTAACATTCAGAAAAGAAAAGTGGAGTAGAATCCATACACAATTTTTTGGAAGAGATGGTACAGTTTGTTTCCTTATCAGGTTCCTTTTTTTTATTTACTAATTTTCGTAAGCGTTAGTGTTTTTTGAACATTTCCTCATGCAACTAATAAAACGAGTCAGCTGGATTGTCCTGATTCGGACTCTGTATGCTTAAATAAATTAGTCCTACATTCTCATCATTCTGTACCATCCATTCCGCCTTTCTGACAATGCTCTTATTTGTCATTTTTAGTCTTTTCTTCGAGAAAGCCGTTCTTGCAGATTCATCTGTATCATATCTTCCGCGAAATTGCAGAAATAATGAAAGCATCAATTACATAATTAGAGGTACTACAATACATCGAATGGCACTTCAGTAAGTATTTTCTTTATATGTATGTATTGACCAATTTCGGACCACGATAATTTTAAGGTACAAACCAGGGTTTTCCGCCTCCTTTCTGCATTGGCGTGTTTGCAAAAACTGGTCTTCCTTGATATCGTTACATTTGTTTCTGTTCAGGGGTTATGTGAAATAAAATAGACGCGTAGAATACGAGGTGTGACACAAAAGTAACGAGACTAGGTCTGTAACTTGAAAGAACAATGGAATTAGCAGCAATTGTTTTTGTGGCATCATCCCACATACCTCCTCTATCCATGTTGCCAATTTCGATTGAATCGGTCATAAATCTGGTGTACTCGCAGGCCCTAGACCCTAATTAAACAATGACTTCGAAGGATGTGGGGTTTTCTAAAAACGATATAAGCATGGTCAGGACTTTAA